TGTTGTTGTTGTCGTTGTTGTTGTTGTTGTTGTTGTTGCTGTTGATGTTGTTGTTGTTGTTGTTGTTGTTGTTGTTGTTGTTGTTGTTGTTGTTGTTGTTGTTGTTGTTGTTGTTGTTGTCGTTGTCGTTGTTGTTGTTGTTGTTGTGTTAGCGTCCTCTGTTGTACGCTTGTGGGGAAACAGACCTCGGCGTAGCTGTGCTTCGAAGGTGGGGCTAAAGCCAGACTCAGCCTTCCGGTCAGCATTACATCCATTTAGAATTAACAACGACCACGGTAGTGTTGGGTCGGTCTGGTCGTACGCACGCCTGCTTGGTTTCAGAAAACGCACGATGCGAACCTCCGGAGTGGCTCGTCGGATCAAAGCAGCGGTGTCATCAAGGCGTGGTGCAAGATGAAAGTAAGGCATGTGTTGGTGCGAACCGGCTGGCTGCTGCCATAGGCGACGTTTCCGAAGCTCGAACAGCTCACACAGCTCACGTGTTTTTGACTCGAAGAGCCCAGCGAACCACAACGGAGCAAACCGAAAAAAATAATAATCTGTATTCAGTCGTACATTCAATAAGAGATGAAGACCCATTGCAGATAATACCATAGTCGACGGGGATATGTTGGAGTATTTTTTCTTATCATGTTTTCCTGTGCGATCCTCTTGGTGCTATTTCAGGTGAAGGCGATGGTGGAGAACGGACAGCTTACCGCGGCCGAGCGTGAGCAAGTCTTATCGCAGGTGCATAGGTGCCAAAAGTCCTATGTTTGTATAGCTGTTGCTCTTCTTGCTTATAGCAGCCCTATGTCCAACAGCTTTTGCTTTTCTTGCCAACGTAGTCCTGTCCTGTGGCTTTCACTCCTCCTGCTGCAGCAAATCGTGTCGCAGATAGGCGCCTATCGTGCTACTCCTAGCTCCCCATTGGTGGTTGTCATTGTGGGAGTGGCTCCCTCGCTTGTTGTTGACCACAGCACACACCTTGAGAATCGCTTTCAAGCACTTGTGGTGCACTTCAGGAACACCTTTAGGGTAATCTTATCGAAGGTCATTTTTTTCTTTTTTCTTTTTACCTGGGAAGTCGGCGTTTTAGACTCTACAGGAGACTAAGAACTTGGAAATTTTGGTGGTGGGAGGATGGCGGACTTGTCGTGATATTCTCGGAGGCGATAACACTTTTTCCTTGTCGGGGTTTTTCTTGGGTGCCGAGATCCACCTTGAAGCGCTACTTGAGACACAATCCACCAGATATCAGATATGGCGAGGAGGGAGATGGTTTACCCTTGTCAGGAGCGTGATCAATCGTTGAAATGGCCGGGGGGGGCTCCGTGAATACTGGCGCAGAGGTTCGAGCCCCCAAATCCCGCCGTACTTTGATACTTGCCTGCATTTTTGTTTCTAGCGTAAAGGGTAGTACCGGGCACTGTATATAGTGTCGGTGGAATAGTGTCTGGTGCCCGGTATGGTACCGGTAACACCTCTGGACACAGACCAAAGCTACACAGCGCCCATTACTGTATCACAGGCGCTTGTAAGGACGTGTTGTGCCGAGAGCCAGCCTCAGCAATATCACCGAGTGATATTCTTGAAGATATTCTACAAACCGCTCCGTGGATTGGGCGTTTCGACCTACACACGCTTGCAATTTGTTGATCTACACAACCCACCGTTTTTGTGTTTTTTTCATGCGTGTCGTGGTCCTGCACGGAATTAGACGAATCTCGAAAACCTTCCATCGAGGACGTTTTGATGTACACCGTTGCTTTTTTTAGTGTACATAAACCATCGCCGACTCGATGTGTTCGATCTTGTTGCATGCGTCCTTTACGCCTGAATGTTTTCATACGAGATACGAGACTTGAGAACTGTTCCGTTGAGGACGTTTTGGTGCACGCGGTATTTTATACTTGGAAGTTTTTTTTTTTTCTCATAGTCAAACTCGATGTGTTCGCATTTGTTGTGTGCGTCCTTTTGCGCCTTGACAGATTCAAGCGAAGCTCGAGAACTGTTCCGTTGACCAAGAGGCGGCCACCCTCAATGAGGACGAGGGCAAGCTGGCCAGGATACACAAGCAGGCGGAGCAACTCATGAAGAGGTAGGTACAGCAGTACTGTGCACGTGTTTTTGTCGACTCGCGTTGTCGCCGCCGCTGTCGCTGCCGCTGTTTTTTTGTGATGGTATCGGTGGTCTTGACCCCGTGCATGCTGTCGCCATTTTTTTTTTCCGATTCTTTTTCTGGCTGTGTTCGATGTTCACTGCACGCCTCTCTGCGGCACTTTTTTTTTTTTGCATTGGTTCTTGTTTTGTGTTCCGAGAGCCGTGTAGCCACAAGCGAGTTAGGACCGCTACCAGCCACCCTTTCGAAGGCATCGCGGTAAGGGAAGGATGTAGGCGTCGTGCATGCTGTTCACCTTGGTGTTGACTTTTGGGCGTTATTTTTTTTCACACATCACGCTTAAGCATTTTTTTTTTCGCCACTTTATCGTCGGTACTGCTGTTGGCCACCCCTTTTCCCAACTAGTGGTTTCGACCTTGTCATTGTTTGCGGTGCCCCTCCAACCAATCGTGCCCCCCAGTTCTTGTTTTTTTCTTTGTTGCCAGGCACGGTGTGGTCTTCGGTCGCGCTTGTACTTCCATGATTCTACGGAGCCCCCCCCCCCCCCCCCCCCCCCCTTTTCTCTTGTCGCTGAGTTTTTTACCGTCCCCCTTTTGAAGCAATTTCTGCTCCGCTATTCCGAGGTGTTGCCGTCTCCTCTCCTTCCTGCTGTCCGAAAAAGAGAAAAATGATACCGCTATTGGCGGAATTTGGTGGACACCCTTCCATGCTTTCGGCCATAATTCCAAATCGATACCGCTATTGGCGGAACATGGTCAACACCTTTCCCTACTTTCTGCAACAATTGAATCATTGGACATCGGTACCACGACAGGCGGAGTATAGTCAACGGCCACGCGCCCGTGTCGCACAAAGTCAAGCATCAGGACGAGTTGCGCGGCATCACGGCCAAGCTGATCAAGATAGAGAAACTAGAGGTGAGGGGCGGGGTGGACATGCTGGATGGTGAAGTGGAGTTGGTCCTGTCGCTTTTTTTTTTCTTCTTTTTGTTGGCGCGTGCCGCATCCGGGTGGGTTGTTGGCGCAAGCGGGAGCATATGTTACCGAGCCGATGGCGCACTCACCAACAGCACGGTCTCCGCATCCAAACAAACTATCAGCACCAGTGCGTTCTGTACAGTTCGTGGTATATGGTCCGCATCCCGATTCAGATCAAGGCGTTCTTTGTGGCGTTTCATGGTGTGTGTGTCCTTGCTTGCTGCGAGTACCCCGGGTGTGGGTGCTGCGGCCGATTACGTGTCTTTGTTTGGAGCCGCGAAAGAGGTGTTGTTGCTGTGTCGACGCATGTAGTGTTTTTTTTTGGGGGGGGGGATCGGGTGTGCGTTTCTCCTGGTTTCGCTGCCGTACACGGGGTGTGTGTATGTTGCGAGTGAGTGTGGTGTCCTTCCCCAGCAATTTGGAATCCTCTCTAGCCGTCAGGGGCAACGCTCCCGCGCTTGACCCACGCAAAACGGGCCCGCAGTGAACGATTTTTGAAGTCGGGTTCCGGGGTCAGTTTGTTATTCGCGACTTCTTTCGCCACCACTGTTGCGGGCTATCTGTCGTTGATTTCTATGGATTTGTGGACCCTTCGGATCCGTTTTTTTTTCAGTACACCTTTTTTGTGCAGTTTTCCTGTGACCACGGGAATAGACCGCGTGAAGTATTCGACTAGTACGGGCGGATGAAGGTACTGGGTAGAGAGATCGGTACGGTTAATAATCTGGAGACAACAACTGTCAGTCAAAGAAAGGTGAAGTGAACATATAGAGTTTAGAGTCTGACCCACCCGTGAGGTTGTGTACGTGTCGACCCTATTTTTTCTTTTCTTTTTGTGAAAATCTGAGCCTTTGATTCTTGGCGGACCCGCTGTGTTTCCCTCCCTTGTCGACCGCACGAATCCAATAGATCTCGAACGATGGAAATTGCCCTCGATCAGCAGGCAAACCATTTGTTTTTATCCCATCCCCCCCGTTCCGCCCCCGGTGTTTGCCATCGGGGTTGGGTTTTCGTCGCTTGGCAACGACGT